AGTGCATGGGGAGAAGAGGCTGTGCCAGGTCCTGGGCCCCCAGTGCATGGGGAGAAGGGGCTGTGCTGGCACCTAAGCCCCCAGTGTGTGAGCAGAAGGGGCTGTGCGAGTCCCCAAACCTCCAGTGTGTGGGCAGAAGGGGCTGTGCGAGTCCCCAAACCTCCAGTGTGTGGGCAGAAGGGGCTGTGCGAGTCCCCAAACCTCCAGTGCATGGGCAGAAGGGGCTGTGCCAGCCCCCGGCCTCCTAGTGCATGAGCAGAAGAGGCTGGGCCAGGCCCCGGGCCCCCAGTGCATGGGCAGAAGAGGCTGGGCCAGGCCCTGGGCTCCCAGTGCATGGGCAGAAGGGGCTGTGCCGGCCCCCGGGCCACCAGTGCATGGGCAGAAGACAACGGACAAAGACTGAGGAAAAACCCATTTGTGCTTCACAGCCAAACCCAGCCCTCCCCTTAACTGCCGGCTTTGGAATCTAAACCGGAGCATGTATTTCATGCTGCTGGGGCACAGTGGGGAGGTGAATGAGGCTTTTGGCTCAGAGACCCTGCCCCTGCCTTGCTCACATCACAAGTACAAACGCCTTCTCCTGTGCCCCCAGCCAGCACCCAGCACCCCCGACTGCAGGGCTATTTCAGCCGGCTGAGGATGGAGGGCTCTTGGCAAGGTTACGTCTGTTTCTCACAGCTCCTCGTCCTGCCTGCAGCACTCGGCCTTTAGCACACAGCCGACAATGGCTGCGGGAAATCGCACTGAGAGAATGAGCCTTGACTAGACCAGCTCTCAGCTCCAGATTTCTCCTGGTAGCCCCAGCCCTGTCCCAGCTGCCTGGCTTGCTCCAGAATAGCTGTGATACCCATTCTGCCCGGTGCTCAGGGTGTGTATAATGAGTGATAGGACCACTGCTGCTGTTGGCACTGCTAGAGCCTGGAAACCCACTGCCATCTTAGCTAGGGCCCCACTGCCAAGTGCCTGCCTTGCCTTCACACGCTGCCATGTGATTCCACGCCCACTAAAATTGGCCCCACATCGATCCCTTTCCATTTCCCCTTCATACGCCCCAAACCCAGCCAGCGACTGGTTTCCCCCTCTCTTGGCTAGACCTGGGCTACTTTTAGAAATTAGATCAACCTACCTACAGCGCGCAGGGCAGTGAAACGTGGTGCGCGGTAGTTCCGGTGACCTAGCCGCTCGTGTAGACGCAGTTCAGTTGATGGAAGGATTCTTCCATTGACCTAGCTCCTGCCTCTCGGAGAGGTGGAATAACTGCATGGATGGGGATAGGACAAGTCTATGGTGCTATAACAGCACAGCCGCAGCACCAGACCTGTGCTTAACAGCTGTAGTATGGACATGGCCTTAGCCTATAATCCTACCCTGTCTTCTTCCCAGGGGTCAGACACCCACCGACAAAGCTGGAATATCTCCCCAGTCTGCTCCTTTGAATGCTTCTCTGCCTGGAAACTCCAGCCTCCTAAGGGCTATCACATGAGGAGAGGGCTCGCTCTGGTTCAGTCCCTGAGCTCTATCCCTCCCTCAACTATGTCCGTATCACCTGGGAAAGGGAGGAGAGCAGAGATGGCCAGGAGGGAGTCCAGGACTTTGGGCGAGGCTGGATCCCAATGTGTCACCGAGTGGCTGAGTCAGGCTTTCCTAAGCAGTAATGTCTGGTTTAGAGCCGTGCTTTCCAGCCAGCTGCAAAGAACATTTCGAATGCTCCAGCTGAGAAAGGACTGTCCTCAAAGCGTGTGGCCCACTGTGCCCACCGCCCGCTGCTCTCCACAGCACACTCCCCGCCCGTCCTTCCCCAACCTCCAATTACCGTCCCAGAACAACTCATGCAGCCATTTCAACTGACGCCAAAGCTCAGTGCCCTGGTTATATTTCATCTTCCCTTCCCACCCCTGACAAATGGCCAGACTGTATTTTACAGTCCTGCCACGGGGACGAGACGATTCAATTAGCAGACGCAAATCGAATCCAAGGGAATGGTTTGGGTTCAGCTCACCATAAAAGCCTGATGCTTTTGCCTTGCTCAGACAGTTAAAAAAAAAAAGCTCAGACATGTTTTCCCTTGGTTTTCCATTGGTTATTTTCCCACCTCCTGGGTCGTAGTGCCGCATGGGGCTATTTCATTGCTACATGTAAACTACGACTATGACAAGCGGCTGCGGCTGCAACTAGCAATTTGTCTGACTCCAGGTTTTAGAAGTCTATTGCAATTAGATGCTGGGTCCTGAAGATGAGTTGCCCAGAACATGCACTAGCTAAATTGTTATAGAGGCGGGGATGTAACAAAGGGGAGGGGGTAGAGGGCTCCCCCCCCACATTGACCCCTGACAGGAGCTGGAAATTTGGCCAGCCACGCGGGGCAGCTAGGCCAAAATTGAGTGGCGTTGCAACCCCCCTCATGCCTGCTTCCCCTACCCCTCTTTGCAGTCCTGGCACCTGTGGCCACTCCCAGACCCTGAGGAGAAGTGTGGCAGGGGGCACCAGGACCCCCCAGCCCCTGGGAGGGGTGGGTCCAGCTTTTGGTGCTTCCCGGGGAAGCAGAGGTGCAGAAGGTGGCTGGGTTGGGGGCTCCCAGAACTGCCTGGCTGCTGTTGGGGGTGGTGCTCTTCAGGCTGACTGCCTCCCTTGCGCTCAGGTCTGAGCGTGGCACAGGGCTCGGTGCAGGGGGGAGCTCAGAGCTGGGTGTGGGGCAGCAGGAGGGGAGTGATTTTGGCTCTGGGGACAGGGGGAGAGTGCCAGTGAGGGAAGGGGCTGGGAGAGAGTGTGGGACGAGAGCTGGACCAGGGCAGGGGAGGGAGAGTCCTGGGCCCCCTCCATAGGAGCCTTCTGGTCGTGTCCTTGTCCAGAATCTGTATGGGATGACGTGGGATCCAGAACCTCAAGCCACCCCCTGAACTGCAGCTGCCCCCATGAACGCTCTCCAGCTTCAGGGTCGAGCTGGCCCCGGGGCGGCAGGTGCAGAGGGATGGACAGGTGGGTGATCTGCTCCAGGGGATCGGCACAGCTGGGACTAGAACGCAGCCCTTCAGGCTCCAGCCCTGTGCCCTCAGCACTAGGCCAGACTGCCTCTCCCCCGACTGCTTTGGCAGGTAGCTGCCACCAGCTGTTCCTGCCGTCTCAGTGCCGCCTGGGGGTACTTTGGCTAGAGCGTAGCATGCAGGGGGGCTGTGTCCACGTAGACTGAGAGCCGGCACAGCTACGGTGCTAGGGCTGAATGGATAAGAGCGAGAACCCCTCCTGCTGCAGGCAGGCCCAGGGTAAAGAAATGCGGGGCCCTGTGTGCTATGAAAATTGGGGTCCCCACAGGGAATGTCTAGGCAGAATGTCATTGGGATGCCCGTGCCAGCCCCTATCAGCCGGTGTGAGCCTTTGGAGGGTTAGTGGTTATGGTTGGGGAGGAGGGGGCGAGCACCAGGGCACAGCACCACTCAGGTTTGGCCCAGCCACCCCTCTCTTGCACTCCTGCATGCCCTCCCAGCCCATATACCCCAACAATCTCCCTCAGCCCCATTTACTCTGACAGCCACCCAACCCAACCCAGCAACCCAACTCTGCAACCCCAGTCCCCAGCCCCCAACAACCCACCCAACCTCTTCCATTACCCCCACAAGGCTCCATCTGCCCCCAACATCCCAATTCTCCCCACAGCCTCCAGAACTCACCCCGGCACCCTTCTCACACCCCAATCCCCCCACTCCACAGCCCCCCAACATCCCCCACTCACCCCCACCACTCCACCACCCCCTCACACCTCAAACCCCCACTCCACAGGCCCCCAACATTCCCACTTACTCCACCATCCCCTACCCCTCCACAGCCCTCCCAACTGTCCCCACTCACCCCACCCTCCATCACCCCTCACACCACAACCCCAACTCCACAACCCCCCACTCCACAGCCTCCCAATGTCCCCCACTCACCACCACACCTCCAACTCCACCACTCCACAGCCCCCCAACATCCCCCATCCCATCACACCTCCAAACCCTCACACTACAGCCCCCCAATATCCCCCAATCACCCCCACCACTCCACCACCCCCTCACACCACAACCCCCACTCCACAGCCCCCCAACAGCCCCCATCCCATCACGCCTCCAACCCCTCACACTACAGCCTCCCAATATCCCCCATTCACACCCCCACCACCACTTCTGGCCACTCACCACCGCCTCAGCTCTCTGCTCCAGTCCCAGACTGGGGCTGCCCCTGCCTGGCCCCCCTCCACTAGCCCATGGCCCATCCTGCACTCCCATAGCCCTGCAACCACAGAGTCCCGCACCACTCATAG